TAAAGTCACTCTGGGAACTGGCTGATGCAACTGCATCACCTGGGATAAAATATTTAAACTGAGTGTTTTAGCCAGACATTAGCTTCTTTCCTCTCTCAGCTTTCTGAAAGGGAGCTGTGCAGTGGCTTCAAACTTCAGGCAGTAAAAAGCACAGCTAGATACTAACACAGCAAGAGCCTGAAGACAAACTTTTGTTTCTCTCTCTGGTTAAACAGGACAAACATGACAAAACACAAGAAAAGCACAGAGGAGAAACTGCACACTGTGAACTCTTTGTGCAACCATCTTCCAATACCCACAAAGAGAGAACGCTTCACCACCGTGAGAAGACTACAAATAAAATACCCTTCTGGTAACTGCCAGCAAATTTGATTCAAACCATTCCAGACTTGTTGGAAATGTTGCTGGCAAGTTGGCCACAAACTTAGACAAATGTGCTCTCTGAAGATGCTAGAAGTTGAATGTGGCAGCCATGAAGACCTGCAGAAAATACATTTTTCCAGATACATTATCAATATCATAATTTTAAGGATAGCATCCCCCAGAATGTTAAAAAACAGACTCATTCAGTCATGGTTCACTTTAAAAAGTGGGAAACAGGCAAGCAGATATAAGTACAAAACTCCAGAAATATTCTGTGATACACCACTATAGACTGTGACACTTTCTGTTGTCCAGATTAGACTGCCCCAAAGTATTCTGAAGCTCAGGAATTGATCAGTGCACACACACACACACATATACATACATATATATAAATACATGGAAATAAAGCTTCCTAAACACTTCCTAAATTTGGGATAATGTTATTCAGAACCAGACTTCTTGCACATGCAACTTTGAGCGCTTTGGTATGCAAGTTGTGAATGCAACTTATGGGGGTACACAATTTATGGGGGCACAGCATTGCTAGCAGTGTATCCTAAACTGCTCAGTGCTGTCATAGTAAAGCTGATGATTAAGAAATGATTTGTTATTCATTCTGAAGAAAATATCCTTATTATTATATAACATCTTTCCTTCATTGAGAAATCAAAGATATTATTTCACTATACTGTTTCAGAGAGCAGATTGTGAAGATGGTACAGTGTTTTGCAGAAAGTTGAGGCTAAGACATGTCACCTAAAGCTTACAGAAGTCCCAACAGTTAAATGGAAAATGTTTATGCTTCATTGCTTCAGAACACAACCTTCTTCTTGCCATGGTGCCTGCAAAGAAGGCTATTCTCTGGAAGGTCTAAATGCCTGTAAATCATCTGTGACCATGGACAAAAATCTTTATTCAAGTTATACTATCATGTAAATTTGTCACAGTTGCAATCCCATCTATGAATCCAGTTGTGTAAAAATATGTTCATATAGTTTCTGCTATTAATTGATCTTGGTGTTCAGTTCTCTTCCTCTTCCCACCTCATCCTCTAAAAGAGGTGGTAGAGGGAAGCCTCAAATTTAGGTTACTGGCAATGACTTTACAGACAAACTTAGTCTTAATGAAGACTCGGTGAAAAAATATGGAAATAGGTATTGACAAAAACTATTTTTCTACACCATCTCCCTCAACTTTAGGTGAAAGTGTGAAAAAATATTTTCCTTTAAGGATAAGGCATAAAGGATAAGGATAAGGATAAAGCACAGCTATGGTAGTAACACTGTAATTTTTCATCTGCTACACAGCACAGGTATAGGGGAACAGGTAAAGGGGAAATGCTGAAATGCTGCCTGTTTCAGTGAACAACATGAAAACCAGGAGTTCTTAAGTGAAACCATGCTCATTCCCCTTCCAGGCCAATTCAAATGGCTACACTACAAACACATACTATTTATTAATTCTTTTGCAGTAGAGACATCTGCAAACATCAGAAAGATCTTCACTAACACTTCCCAAGTGTTGTAAGAAATTAAGAATAGAAAATTACTTTATGTTTGCTTTGAGATGTGCAAGTCTTCACCAGGAAATAACAAGGTTATATGTTTCCTTTCACTATCCCAGAATGCATTTTTAATTCTTACACTGATAGTTGGAAGTTAATTGAAATGCCCAAATACTCTCTACCTCTCTTCTACTACAAAATCTCACGTTTTTGTCTTGTGTTGTAATAAGACACAGCAAACTTGTATAAATATAATATGTGCAGATGTGCACAGGATGGGTTTCCTTCAGAAAGGATAAGTTGAAGGCGTTGAGATTAAAATCACTGTCCTTCAATATTTCTTCTTCTAGAAATCAACGTTTACACAATGCTATCCATAAAACAGGATTTTCCCCACATGTATACATGTATTACCACAATAAAATCCCATTCTCAAAGCTATTTAATATTCAAAACATCATTCGGAGCTATTGACATTACAAACTAATTGAATCAAAGAGCTGAGAAAAACAAACAGAAAGCTAGAAAGGCAACCATGACCAAGAAAGAGCCTACTTATCAAGAAAAAGCAGCAGGCATGTAAAACTGGTATATCCTAAGGAATTCTCAGAACTGCCAAGTTTATAGCCTTTCACTACTGTTTATTGAATGCACACCACATAGGCTACAAGTGTCTCACAGTTCATACCTTTTCTCCCCATTCATTCATACTCATTTATGAACATACAAGGAGCTTCAGAAAAGACTGAAGATCTGCTGTGCTTTACTTCAGGACAGCAAGTCTGATATATTTGAGAGCCCTTTCCATGGTGTCAGGAAATTTTGCTTAGTTTTCTTTTTAAGACCTCTTGCAAACAACACACAGATGATTACTTTCAGATAACTAAGTGCAACGTCACTTATCTCAACACAACCATTACCAGCCACAGACTTATCTAATGGCAAAACATGTGTGGGAATTCTGCCAGCAGCTGCACAGCCACAGCCACCCAAATCTACTACCTTGTTACATCTGCAAGTAAGAAAAATTCTTTAGACACAAGCATGTTATAGTACTTGTTTTCTGTGTTTGGAAAATAATGGATCTGTAATCACGTGGCAGTGAACATAAGTAATATTTGTACAGAGGATTAGTCAGCACAGATTGTTTGTTCAAAGGATGCTAAGAAAAAATGGAAATGTGAGAGCAATACTGAAGCTTATCTCAGTTTTCAGCATTCACAGAAAGGGGGGAAATATCAATCTTTGATAGATTCCATGTTCAGTCAGCAAAAGAAAGAGCAAGCCATTTAGAAAAATGTTCCTGGCCCTACTGCAAGGCCAGGCATGCTGTAGCAATCCTAAATTTTCACAGAAGCACCCAGTCATTCTCTAAAGCAAAGTGCCAGCTCACAGCTGCATGATATAGCAGCACCATTCCTGCTTGAATCCTTGTGTTTGCACTTTCAGTCTGAGGATACATTTACCTTCACAGAAAGCCAAGTGATAATAGTCATCAGCTAGGTTTTGAGTTGAGCCTTTTAATTCTTTCCAAAACCAGCATCATTTACTTCCTGTTATTATTAAGTAGATATGGAGATAATCTTTTTAGATAAATCTCTGACTGAAGCTCCTCATGCATTTACCATTAAGTGTTAAACCCAGTCAGAACAAAAGGATGAACTACCCTCCCAGGTACAGAAGAGATAATTTAGTAGTCACATCAGTTTATCTGTTGCCCCCAGACCAAATTTAGTTATGAAATTAGAAATTAGAAATTAAAATAATTATTCTCTATAGTGAAAGTTAATTACATTTGCAAATATTAAATTATTTTAGACATAGATTTTCACCCTTTATGTTTCTTTATAATGACTATGCTATAATGAAATTCTGTGAAGTGTTAAAATCAAAGATACTACAATGAGTAGTAGCTGTATTTGAGTGTCCTGGAAAACAGATGGGCCCTAAGACTCATTCTCTATCCTACATTTTTTACTTTATTCTTTCCTTGTTCGTGACTTTTTTATTAATGATCATGCATTCTACAGTTGTCAGTTCCCACAGCACTTGCCTTATTTAGTGTCATACTTTTCTATTCAGAGAAGGAAGTGTTCACTGTGCACTATACTAAATATAACAAGGTATATTTCAAATCAAGCAAAGTTTGTGAGTAGCAAAGAGGCAACAATTTCAATATGTAAACTATAAAAAAGCCATTGTGAAAGAGTATTTCCTGGGTTAGTGCTGCGTTGCTTTTCTTTCTGTATTACAGCTTTCTGGCAAACCTCAATTATAATCTCAATATCTTTCTAGATAAAAATGTCTTTTCTAGGGATCAACAGCATTTTGTCACAGAAAGAACAGTTACATTGAGTGGGGGTTTACTATTTCCTAATATTTCTAAGCCTAAGAACTCTGTCATCACTGCAGGACTACCACGAGATGAGAATACCAAAAAATAAGCATGGGGTTAAACTGCCATCTTTACCATACTTCTCTAAGAGGAAGAACAGGCAATTTCAAGATGATCCTTGAAGCAAACAAAATACTATCTTGGGGTATATGCATGGCATACATAACTGCCTGCTGAATACCCAGATACCATAAACATTATAAAAACATAAAGTCAACAGAACGTTGGGAAAGTTGGTCAAAGGAGCTTAGCTTTCTTGACTGAGATCAAAGCAACTAAAGCCCTTCTTCACTAATGGTGACAGATATAGCTGAGGTAACACTGTGGTCAACTTAGCAAGTGTAAGATAAATATAAGACATTAAGCACCCTTCTGTACAGCATATCTTAGATGTCATGGGTGGTGATGGGAGGGCGGGGAACAACTTGAAAAAATTAATAAAGAAAAGAAATCACAAGAGAGAAAATGTTTATATCAAGAATCTGTTCAGTGAATCCAGAAAACAACTCTGTAAAGAGAATGAAAGCACCTCACAAAAAGACAAAAGCTTCATATAGATTTGGTTTATTATATTGCCTGCGAAATCTGGTTGTGTTTAAAAGTCTCTCTCAGTACAAAAATAACTTCAAACTTGAGGCTCCAAATGATACTGTCTCTAATAAAATGATAGCATCATATCTGTATGGCAGATTTATTCTCTTCCTACCCAACCAACATGCTGGCAATGCACTATACCTTTCTCTTGTTCACAGATTTCTGAGGAAGTAGTGTTTGATTTTAAATTAAAGATGTGAAGACTGAGCAGCACCAGTAGCTAAGTCACAAGCTGTTTGTTCTGGGACTTTCCACACCACAGATCCTAGTCCTGTTGGAGCGTTCTCCTTTTCATCAGCAAGGAGGGCTTCCTGAGCAGTATTAGTGACATCATCTGTTAAACAAAAGAAAAGAGATTTAATATAAATCAGATTTCATTAGTAGATTTGATGGTAGCAATGCAGTGGAAATTTATTTACACAGGGTAACAAAATGCAGCAGCATCACATGTTATATAAATGTGCAAGTGTGGCATCTTCTTTCCATTAAGAACACATATGGTTCCCTGCTATGGTGGCCCCTGCTAGATGGTCCTCAGTGAAAGCAGGATGGAAACTGCTAATTTTCCTGGCAATTAGATGAGATCAATCCAGACTGTTAACTCTGCCTAGCTAACACTAGATTTATACTCCATTTCAACACAAGTTATTGGGTATTGGGATACCTAAATTGTCATGGTGGCCACCTATAAATTTGCACATACAGACTGTCACTGCCATGAATTTTTATAAAGTATAAAAGTATACCAACATAAGCAAGTTATCATGTGTCATACTGAAAGGAAGACAAGACTTAAATTTTAGAAAACCTGAATTCTGTTCTTGAAGGTAATGACCACCATCTCCTTTATGAAAACAATCAAAAGACAATGGACAGGGCCTTGATTTTGTCTTACTTCATATTTCTTTATAATACTTCAATGTATTTTGATCACAAGGGGAAACAACAGAAGTATTTGAGTTTTTGTTGATGTTCACTGCATGTTAATTTGAATTGGTATTTCCCATGCACAGAAAAAAAATTACAGAAATTAAATTATCATTATGGCGATATCTTCATGGAAAATATCACCCTGAAAGCTTAATAACTGAAAGCAATTCAAGTTCCTTAATGAGTATCATCTACCTTAGTTTTCCTAGTCTATAAACACCTTTAACTACACCTTTGACTGCAAAGTGAAAAAAAAGAAAGTCAAGTCTCCTCAGTACTAAACTTTCTAGTGGTATACCCCTTGTGTTAGAGGTTGAGGACAAGTGAATTGAACAAGCCAAACAGATTTAAGCAATGTCTTAAGCAGACATGGCCATATGGGGGTCCCCAAAGCAGAGGGTTGGCAGACACAACACAGAACAGGTTAAATTCTTTGCCTTTTGGGCAAGAGAGCTGGAAGTCAGACAGAATTCTATATATGAACTGTGCTGAATTGATGGATATAACTATTATTGCGTACAATGTTCATATCTTCACAAAAAACTGTATTTAACATAAAATACATCACGACTGCATCCAAAGGTACCAGTCCCAAAAACAGAATTTCTAAAGCACATCCCTTGCTAGAAAATACTGCATTTCTCTCTAGGGGTTTGTTTAAGGCAACACCATGTATTCTGCTAGTGGCTTAAAACCTAAATCCTCAGGGAATTTACTGGCTTATTTGTTCAATAAAGACAGGCATCTAGGCAGTAGTTAATGGAGAAAGGAAATCTGCATACTCATTTCCTTAGGGCCAAATTCACTGCTGTGAGAGAATACTTTTGAAAAGGATGAAAGTACAGCTAGGGCCAGATCATGGCAGAAGATCAAAGTGCTGAACAGCTTAGTTGGCATATTTAAGTAGCACAAAACACTGGAAAAGAGGAATTCAATTTATTTATATAGTAACAAACCTCCTCAGGCCAAGCACCTCTATTTTTTATGACGTCAGATATGTCTCACTTCGCCTTATCTCCATCATCCTTTTTGAGTTGTCCTATTCTTAAATATTCCAATATTGTTATTCCACATAAAACATTTTGCTGCTTTCTTCTGCCCTTCAGTTAAAAATCTGAATACATCTGAATAAAAGGGAAATAGACGGTTTTCCCATATTAACATGCAATATAGAAACACCTAAGACAAAGCAAGAATTTACTTGTAAAAGGCAAGTAGGCATCAATCAGGCCAATAAGATGATAACAAAGCAGGCCAATACCCACAAGAATCAAAAGGGGAAGAAACCCAGAAAACTGCAGCTCTGAATTGTAAAGCTTTCTGGGTAATTTGTCTACATTGAAAAATGTACTAATCTTTTAGCCTATCTACTAATTCTGTAATACCAATTCTTCTTAGCAGTAAGTTACTTGATCCTTAAAAGCTTACTGTTAAGATTAATAGTTTTTTTATTTTCCTAGTAAACTTGGAAATAAAAAGTATCTTTTATTTATGGCCAACTGGCCATAATGTAGCAAGAATAGTGTTTACAGAAGTTCTGAGACAGGAATGAAACAGAGATCTAGAACGTGTGTAAGTTACAGTAATAAGCATAAATAAAAAGTAGTAGTATAGTGATGTGACAATATCTGCTTCCAAAAGTGGATGCTTCAGTAGCATAGCATATGAATGAGATTTAAAAAGAAGATTAATTGGAAATAAGTCCTGCAAAAACTGGGGCAAATTTGAAATATTTAATTACTCCAGTCAGTACAAGTGGTTAGAGTGCTATTCACCGTGAATTACCAGCAACCACTGGAAAACTACAACCTAATAATCCTTCAGTAATCTTCCTATAGCTTCTTAAAAGATATGGTAATACAAAAATAACTTAAAATAATTGGATACTTAATTTCTCATTTCCAGTAACTGCTAAGCTAAATCTATTTCTAATGGTGGAGAGGAAGGAAAAAGAGAAGAAGCTATTACTGTGGAAATATATCTATTAATCTACAAACAAACAGAACATAAACTACAACTGCTCAAATTAATTCAGAATGCAGAATATACCACCCTCGCCAAAAACACCTCAAAGAACCAAAACTATTATAGAAATAATTTGACAGATGAGCTGATGTTTGATACATTACTAATTTCACTCAGTGCAGTGAAGTCACCAACATGTTCATATCCTGTAGTTATGGCAGCACTTGCTAAATAAAGAAAGTTGATTCAGTTATGTTCTTTCTTTATCATATAATGGCTCTCTAGAAAAAAAATAATGTTATAAAAATGAAGGGTTTTCTCTATGGAAATAACTAGTAACACTTGTCAACATTTCCCAAATAGTTAGGAAAGGATAGAAGATACTAGAGACTGTTTGTTCAGGTTTTTAATATCAAACTGTAATACATAAAATCTTTGGTCAGCGTTCTGTTTTTCACACTTTTACCTCCATCATGTCAAGTAGCACTTCATCTTGAGTGCAAGATAAGTTTAAAAGTATGAGAGTAAACACTGATGCCAGTCTCCAGCCTTTCCTTGAGATTCCCAAAATAGACAAAGCACTCAGGTTCTCAGAGATTTTAGCCAGATCTGTTCACCTGGGACATGTTAGTCCATTTTAACTCTTAAACAGAGTGCATTACTCTCAGAAGTTTAAAAAAAACCCAAACTACTAAGGTGTATAGCTAGTTTAGGTTTCTTCTTGGAAAGCAGAACAGCTGAGGACAATTCCTCTGACAACTGGGGTAATGTTGTGTACAGTACACATATGCAGGGTCTGTGGACTGTAAGGGCTGGGGATCTCGAAAGAACACCTTGATCTGTAGAAGAGCTGTACAAGAGCTTCCTTCTGTCCAACACACTTCAAAGAGAAACAGGTAGGGTCCAACTATACTCCCCAGAGCAGAAAAAAGAGCAATCACATCCTTGCATATGGTAACAGAAAAGCAGCTTCCCTGAATGGTTTGGAAGGCCTCCCTATGTCTTTGTACAGCTGATCCACATTTTGAAAACTCTTTGAAAACAAGGCATTTTGGCTTTAAAATGACTAAGCATAAAACAAGATTGACCCAAAAAAAGTCAGTTTCTTTGGGAAAACAGTGCTGAACACATCTGTGAGTTCTCTGCAGTAGTTGCTAGAAATTTCAGTTGACAGATGCTTTGTAATGAGAATATGTACATTACCACTGGCTTTTCATTAGAAGTTATTCTAATCGACAGCTCGAGGAGGCGGGGGAGGGGTTCTTGCATACAACCTCATGTTCAAGGATTACAGAAGCATATTTATTTCTATGACATTTTACTGTGGTGCCTTGTATTCTACTCTAAAGCCTTCTATCCATAATATTAATTTTATTTACAACTTTTTAAGAGAACTATTCATCAGGCATGATGCAAGGAGACTGCATCTTCCCCTTCCTGCTCCTGCTCTTGGATTTCTATGACTGTGATACTTACTTTGGTACCAGATTTCCTAGGGATTCCACATTATTATTTACACATAAATAACTGGAACAGATGCAGCCCTTCATGAATGAGACTTAAGATTTTGAAAACCAGAACCTGCCAGCAACATACACTTATACCCAATATACATCACTTGCTCTCTCCTTTACCCATTCAATGTCTGCCTAATACACAGTATTACAACCAGAAATGTGCTGCCTTCTTCTATGGCTGCACCAAAAGCAGATTGGGAAGAAAGAAAAAATAAAGAGAAAAAAAGAATAGAAGAAGAAAAAAAAGAGGTACTTAAAAAAATCCCGTGAAAGCAAAGACAATCTAAAGAGAGGCTTCAATGTGAATGCACCATGGCCCAAGGAAGAAATAGCACAGATCATGCCACAAAGTCATCCCCTTTTAACACAAAAACTTATCAGCAGAAAAATCCTGTGGCATGACCTTTATAGTAGATCACTCTACATATCCTGAGCAACGCACACTTTGAAAAATGTGCAGCCACAATCTCCATTCTTTACATAGTGAACAAACTTAAAGAGCACAAAAAGACTTCAGAAGCTTCCTTTTACTTCTTATTTTTAATATCAACTTTGAAATTGATATGGCAGAAATCAGACATGATAAGCAGAAAGTTCTTAGCTACAAATACTTCTTTCATTGCTACCAGAGAATACTGATGAAAACTTTGCTGATCTGTTTTAAACCCTTTACTGCAAAATATATCTTTAGTGGACAAAACACAGAACTTTTCTTTGGATATTAGAAGCAATGACAGATACAGAAGCAGTCATTCACTTTCCTGCCTCCTTTATATTACATCTTTCTGTTTTGGCATCCCCATAATAAGGAACCCTTTGGGATCATTTGAACTTGTCAGCAATGGTGGATTACCAAAATTAGGTCAACAATTTAAATTTGTTTCCATGTTATTCTTTGTGCCTTGCTGCAGATTACTATCCC